TAGAGGGTAAGGCTTTTTCTTTTTTTTTTTTTTCTGTCTGAGACAGGGTCTCCCTGTAGCCCCAGCTGTCCTGAAACTCACTGTGTAGACCAGGCTGGCCTTGAACTCACGAAGATCCGCCTGTCTCTGCCTCCTAAGTGCTGGGATTAAAGGTGTGTGCCACCACGCCCGGCCGAAAGGACCTGGAATTTAAAAGGATTTTGTGCTAGGAGCCACATATGAGGGAGAACATACATCGTTTATTTTTCTGAGTCTGTGTTACTTCACTTACAGTATAACAGTTTCTAGCTCCATCCGTTTACCTGCAAATTTCATTATTTCATCTTTACTGCTGAGTAGAACTCCATAGTTTAAATATACCACATTTCCACTTAATTGTTTAAATTAACCACTGAGGGACACTTAGGTTGCTTCCATCTCTTAGCTATTTTGAAAAGAGCAGCAACAAACATGGTTGTACAAGTGTCTCTACAATAGGATGAGTCCTTTGGGTATATGCCAAGGAATGGTATAACCAGGTCATATGGTAGGTTCATTTTTAGTTTTTTAAGAGTTCTTCACACTGTTTTCCATGGAGGCAGCACGAGTTTGCAATCACACCAGCAGTGAATGAGTGTTCCCTTTTCTCCACATCCTCTCCAGCATTTGGTATCATTTGTTCTCTTGATCCTATCCAGTCTGATTGGGGTAAGGTGATACCTTAGGGTGGTTTTAGTTTGCATTTCCCTAATTACTAATGATGTTAAACACTTTTTGAGATGCTTCTTAGCCATCTTTATTTCTTCCTTTGAGAAGTCTCTGTTTAGATCTTTAGCCCATCTTTTAATTGGGTCATTGTGTTTCTTGCTTCTTTGTTTTTTGAGTTCTTTATATATTGTGGATGTAAAACCTCTGTCAGATGTGTAACTGGTGGAGATTTTTTTCCTATTCTCTAGATTTCCTCTTCGCTTTCTTGATTGTTTTTTTTGCTGTACAGAGGCTTTTTAGTTTAATGAGGTACCACTTGTTGATTGCTGACCTTAATTCCTGAGCAATTGCTGTCTGATTTAGAAAATCCTTTCCTACACCTATATCCTGTAAGTTACTGCCAATATTTTCTTCTAATAGTTTCAGGGTTTCTAGTTTCACATTGAGGTCTTTGATCCATTTGGAGTTGACTTTTGTACAAGGCAAAAGGTAAGGATCTAGTTTCATTCTCCTACAGATGGAGATCCAGCACCATTTGTTGAAGATGCTCTCTTTCCTCCATTGTGTGTTCTTGGCACCTTTGTCAATTATTAGGTGGCTGAAATTGCATGTACTCATGTTTGGTTCTTCTATGATGTTCCATTGATCTATGTGTCTGTTTTTGCCCCCAGTACCATGCTGTTTTTATGACTGTGGCTCTGTAGTATACTTTGAGATCTGGTGTAGTAATCCCCCCAGTGTTGCTCTTGTGCTCAGGCTTGCTTTGGCTATCCGGGGTCTTTTGTGCCTCCATATGAATTTAAGGATGCATTTTTCTAATTCTGTGAATTATGTCACGGGGATTTTGATTGGGATTGCATTGAATCTATATTGCTTTTGGTAGGACTGCCATTTAAACAATATTAATTCTTCAAATCCATGAACATGGGAGGTCCTTCCATCTCCTGGTGTCTTCCTCAATCTCTTTCTTTAATGATTAAAACTTTTCATTGCAGAGATCTTTGGTATCTTTCGTCAGATTTATTCCAAGATATTTAAATTTTTTTGCATCAACTATGAATGGGAGCATTTCCCTGCATTCTTTCTCCATTTGCTTGTTATTGGTACATAGAAAGGCTACTGATTTTTGTAGATTGATTTTATAACCTGCCATTATACTGAAAGTGTTGATCAGTTCTAGGAGTTTTCTGGTGGAACTTTTGGGATCTCTTAGGTATAGTATCTTATCAAGCATGAAAAGTGATAGCTTGACCTCTTCTTTTCCTTTAACTTCCTTCTCCTGTCTTATTGCTCTAGCAAGAGTTTCAAGCATTATGTTGGAAAGGATTGGAGATAGTGGACATTCTTGTCTGGTTCCTGATTTCAATGGGAATGCTTCCAGTTTTTCTCCATTTAGAATGATATCGGCTGTGGGTTTGTTGTATATTGCTTTAATTATGTTGAGGTATGTTCCCTCCAGTCCAATTCCCTCTAGGACTTTGAACATAAATGCATGCTGAATTTTGTCAGAAGCCTTTTCTGCATCTATTGAGATGACAATGTGGTTTTTGTCTTCGAGTCCATTTATATGATTAATGATGTTTATTGACTTGTGTATATTGAACCATCCCTGCATCTCTGGGATAAAGTCTACTTGATCATGGTGAATGATCTTTCTGATGTGTGTCTGTATGCGGTTTGCAAGCGTTTTGTTGAGAAGTTTTGCATCTATGTTCATTAAGGATATGGGTCTATAGTTTTCCTTTTTGTTTGTGTCTTTACCCAGTTTGGGTATTAGAGTGATGCTGGCTTCATAGAAGGAATTTGGGAGTTCTCCCTCTGTTTCTATTGTTTTGAATAATTTAAGTAGTATTGGTTGGAGGTCTTCTTTAAATGTCTGGTAGGATTCTGCTGTAAATTCATCTGGGCCTGGGCTTTTTCTGGTTGGGAGGCTTTGTATTACTGTTTCAGTTTCCTTATATGTTATGGGTCTGTTTAAATTGTTGATCTCTCTTGGTTTAATTTTGGAGGTTCCCATGATTTCAGATATCCATCCATTTCTTTTAGACTTTCAGATTTAGTAGCAAATAGGTTTTTAAAATGTTCCCTTATAATGGTTTTTGGTGTGCCTGTTGTGATGTTTCCCCTTTCATCTCTGATTTTGTTGATTTGTATTTGCTTTCTTTTGGTTAATTGGGCTAAGGGTCTGTCTGTCTTGTTTAGCTTTTTGAAGAACCAGCTCTTAAATTCACTGATTCTTTGTATTGTTTTCTTTGTTTCTGTTTCATTAATTTCTGCTGCTTTTTAAAAAATATTTTATTTACTATTTTTATTTTATGTGTATGCATGTATTGCCTTCATGTGGGTAAGTGAACTCATGTTGTGCAATGCCTGTGGAGAACAGAAGAGACTGTCAGGTTCCCTGGAACTGGAGTTTTGGACAATTGTTAGCTGCCATGTGGGTGCTGGGATTCGAACCCAGGTCTTCTGCAAGAACAGTCAGTGTTCTTAACCGCTGAGCCATCTCTCCGGCCCCTCTGCTCTGAGTTTTGTCATTTCTTCTCTTCTGCTGCGTTTGGGTTTCATTTGTTATTGCCTTTCCAGTGCCTTGAGTTGCAGTGTTAGGTCATTTATTTGGGCTCTTTCCAATTTTTTAATATAGCCACTTAGAGCTATAAACTTCCCTCTTAGGACTGCTTTTTTTTGTTTGTTTCTTTTAGTCTTTTTGAGACAGGGTCTCCTTGTAGCCCCAGCTGTCCTGGAACTCACTGTGTAGACCAGTCTGGCCTTGAACTCACAGAGATCTGCCTGCCTCTGCCTTCCAAGTGCTAGGATTAAAGGTGTGAGCCACCACGCCTGGCAAAGGACTGCTTTTAATGTGTCCCAAAGGTTGTGTTGTGTTGTATTGTCCCTTTCCTTGAATTCCAGGAATTCTTTTATTTCTTTCTTAATTTCTCTTTTGATCCACTCATGGTTTAGGAGTGTGTTGTTCAATCGCCACGAGTTCGTGTAGTGACTAGAGTTTCGTCCAGTGTTGATTTGAGCCTTATTGATTTGTGGTCTGATAGAATGCAGGGAATTATTTCAATATTTTTGTATTTGTTAAGGTTTGTTTTGTGGCCCAGTATTTGGTCAATTTTTGAAAAAGTTCCATTAGGTGCTGAATAGAAAGTGTATTCTTTGGTGTTTGGGTGGAATAATCAAAAGACGTCTGTTAGGTCCATTTGATGTATGGTATCATTTAATTCAGACATCTCTCTGTTTATTGTTTGTCCAATTGACCTGTCTAATGGAGACAGTGGGGTATTGAAGTCACCTACTATTACTGAGTTGGGGTTAATCTGGGTCTTAAAGTCCTGTAGTATTGTTTTTATGAAGTTGGGTGCACCAAAGTTTGGTGTATATGTTCATG